GTCCAGATTTCATCCTGAAGGCTTCTGTCTGAAGATCTCCGATGGGTACAGAGGGTAGCCGACTTTCTCCGGTCATCTCACAAGCGGGAGTTTGGTGAGCGGCGACTCTGCTCGTCCGGGAATGCAGACTTTCCGGAAGACGAGCCCTCCCCCAAGCCCGGCTTTGCCCGCCTCTCTAGCATTTACGCGCGCTCCTCTCTCCCTCCTGGTTTCGCCCCTTCCCCTGCTCAGTCTTGTGCGCAGGCGCTGTGGCGGGCGGCGGGCCTACACTTGGCGGGTTGGCGCGTGCGCACTGGGGTACCCCGCGTTTCTCTGGGGGAGCAGAGAGCGGCGGGCCGCGGTGGGTGGGGCCGCGTCCCTCCCAGCGCGGAGCTGGTCCAGTCCCCCTGATGGCGGGAGACCTGGAGCCGCGTCTCCCGGAGGCCTTCCCTCGGTGATGAGCTGAGACAGTCACTTCTTTCTTGTAAGAGTGCTTGTATTTTCAACCACCGCTCCCCAGCCACCAGTGCTTTGTTACGGAAGTTAAGCTTATTAAATTTGTATCTACACTAATCTCCCGGGTTTCGTTTCTTTTCGTTAAAGACCAAGCGCACTCAAGTAGTCCTGCTTCTGAATGAATGAATGAATCATCCTGCCCTGGGAGTTCCAATTCTCACACCCTGGGACCGAAGGCTCCTGGTCGTGGTTTTCTAGTGGTGGAGGAATGGGTGAGAGTATTAATTGTTAAGTCTTTGATGACAAGTTGTACCGTATTATTAGTCATGCTGAACGTTTTACTCTTTGAATGTGTACTAAAGTGACAGTGCATCAACGCTCTGAAGCCATAGGACATAAGCTCTCAAAAGTCTAAATCCCAGTCTTTTGTAGTTTTCCCGTTCTTTTGCTCTTCTGCAGCCTCAGGGAGCGTTAATACTTGGCTTGTGGTAAGCGCTTAGTTAAATTGTTGGCAAGTCCTGTGTGAAGCAGGGCCGGCATCAGGATGAGCCACGTAGGTGCTGAGTGGATCCTGTCTTTACTATGTAAAGTTTTTGATAGTTAAGCATGGTTTTCTGCATTAATTTTTATTTTTTAGAATGTTGCATTAGTACTTTCCTGGATTGCTGGACTATTTGGCATCCTCAGTTTTGCATCTGAGTCATGTCTCTCACCTCAGCCTGGCCTGGAGACATAGGATTGAAAAGACAAAAGTCTTGTCCTTCAGGGAGTTTACATTCTAATTGGAAAGAAATTGGCAATGAACAATTTCAGTAAATGAAAGAGGGATATAAAACAACGTCAGCGGGTGGAGAATAGGCATAGTTCGGGTGGTCAGGAAGTTTTCTGAGGCTTTGGACCAAAATTGGGAAGTTGAGCTGGCAATACAAAAGTCTGCCTAATAGGCAGAGGAAAGAGACTGAATATGTTTGGTTTGTTACAGAATGACGAGAAGTAGATGAGGTCAGAGAAGTGGAAGCCAGAAGCTGTAGAACTTGGTTTACATGTGGAGTTTAGAGTTTCTTTAGCAGTGGGTAGCTGTTGGAGGGATTTTAGCAAGGGAGTGATTTGTTGAATGACTATTTTTTTTAAATCTACTAGGCACTTTTTAAATGTTAGCCTTTAACTCTCACAGTAACCCTAGAATTTTCATTTTTTGGATTGTGCTTAAAGTTCATCCCCACAGAACCACACAGCTAGTAAGCAAAAATTCCATCCCCGTTGTCTGGGATAAATCCATGTGTTTTCCTCTGTGTTATAGTGAGGAGTAATATTTGTCAGAGGCCTGATTGTTTTCAGTACGTTTTCACATTACTTCCCCATTTGACCTTAGAGATCATCTTTACTCCTTTTATTTTTAGGTGCAGACAAATATATGATGGGGGTGGGGTGGAGCGGTTCTCATTAAAATTAGTTGAGCACTTGAACTATAACCTTTGAATCTTAACCACAGCTTAAAAGTTATTCTCCAGCCATTATTTTTTAAATTTATTTTCAGAAAAAAGGCTAAGATTTAGGAAAATTAAAATTACTATGGTAATATAATATAAAGAGTGAAGCTGGAATAGTTTGAGTCTTTTTGCTTTTTGTTTATTAAGTTACTTAATACTTGATTTTAATTGTTAGAGCTTTAATTATGTTGAAATATCCTTAACTGACAATTAACTTTTTCAGTAGGTTCACAAGCACCTGTTAGTTTCAGTTTTAGTGAGAAATTTAGAAAGGGTCATTCTGAATTTTAACAAATGTCATCAGATGTATGTACCTCTTTCTGCAAATCAGTATCAATCAGAACTATTGAGTTTTTAGGTGCAAAATGACGTGCAGAGAGAAGTGCTCTGATTCTTTCAGCAAATCCTTATTGTAGACTGACAGCATACAAGATCGTGGAGTGTCTGGAAATGTTCTAATGGACAGGAGATTTGAGAATTGATGGAAGATTCTTCATGATTACCACTCTGACATTTTCTTTTTCCTTGGGACAGGGTTTGGAGGAGTGGAGGATGGGGAAGGAATAAGTAAACTTAACTGGCTCTCACAGAATGAAATCTAACATTACAGACCCTACACAATCCCAGTCCAACTTTCCTAGTTATTACCGATTAGAAGAGGTAAAGAGAAATGAAGTAATAGTATATTGTAATATTTAATAACCTGTAGATAGGTCCCTTTCATTCAAAAAGGAAACCAGAAAATCCAGGGGGAAAGTGATAAACCTGGCAGACACAAGCTTGCATCAGGCCTTAAGCAGACAGTGAATATTATGGAATGAACATATCTTGCTGTAGTCGAGAGTCACATAGGTCACTAAAAGCTGAATTCATCAACTGTTCCTTTGAAGGTAGAATGCCTTTTATGAGCAGAACATTATAGAGAAGAGGGATACTCTTCAAATTAAAATTCTCTGATGTGTATGATAACCTTTGGCCAGCTTAAATTCTAAACTGCCTTTAATGCTTTTTCTACACCCCCCTTTTAGAATAAGGTAAAAATTACCAATATAAAATTATGCTAAAATTTAGCACATAATGTGGCTTGAAAGGAAATCTGGCTAATGTTAACTTAGTAAAGAGGAAACAATTACCTGAAAATAATATAGTTTTGAATTTATGTAGTACATATGCTCATAAAAATTCAGACTACTGTTGATTCTAACAAATATGGAAAAATGTGCAATTTTGAGAGTTAACTAAACGTCTCCCAGTCCTCTGACATTTAAATCATACAACCTTAATAGTAAAATTGCCTTTGTTTCTCTGGAAATCCTACCTTGTTGTAAATAATTAAGTAGAATAGTGTCCTTATTTTTTTTAAATACGAGCTGAAATATTTAAATGTGAAGTATAACGTTTGTAACTTCTAACACCAAGCAAATACGAAAACATCTCTTGAAACTAGACAACGAGTATGAGTGTTTGTGCCAGTTAGTGATTTATTGCCTTACTTTGTGATATTGGAGCTGGACCTATAAACATTTCTCCTTTGCCAGCTGGTACCATGTTAAGCTTTGTCAGTAGGGGATGACAGACAGACAGTGCAGGAGGAAGGGGCTTCTTTTGTTTCCAGTGTGCTGCTATGCACACCTGCCAGGGGTGCTCTCGGACACTGTGGTGGTGAATTTTACGCATCAACTTGGCTGGGCCACAGGGTACCTAGATACTCAGTCAACATTCCTCTGGGTGTTTTGGATGATATTAACATTTTCATCAGTGAATATCTGAGAAAATCACAATGCCCTCCATAATGTGGAATTGCCTCATCCAATCCGTTGAAGACCTGAAAAGGGCAAAAAAGACTGGCCTTCCCTGAGCAAGAGAGAATTCTCCAACAGACTGCTTTCAGGCCGCAACTGCAGCACCAGCTTTCCTGGGTCTCCAGCCTGCTGGTCCACATGGCAGATCAGAGACTTGCCAGCCTCCATAATTGTGAGCCAGTTCCTCAGTAAAGCTCTTTCTCTACATATCCGCATCCTTCTAGCCTCCAGGTTCCAGGAGAAGCCTGACTAACGCAGACGCAAGGTGGTGCTTACCCTCCAGCAAGTTTTGCCAACCCCCTGGGGGGAGACTTATTGCTTACCATTCCCTGCAGGTCTGAGGTTCTGCTTGTGAGGTCTGATCCCCCACTCTGGCCCAGGGCAACCCAGGGAACGTCTCTGCCGAAGCCACAGTCTCCATAGGCCTGACTCTCCGCTCTGGGAGAAGGGATGCCCTTTCCAAGGGGCTGTTCTTTCCTTGGGGAAGCGTTCTGTCCTAGAGTAGTAGTCTTTTATCCCCTAACAACTTATCCCACCATCAGTTAAGTATCCTTTATATCAAAATTATCCTTGTTCAAATTAAAGGTAGGTTTCTGTCTCCTGACTGGGTACAGTAATTAATGTCGTATCTCTATTATTTTAAGTTTAAAGTTTTTCTTAAGAGTTAAACCAAATTTTCAATCATCCATTAAACAGTTTACATAAAGCAAAGGACTGTTTTTTCCTTTGTCTACTTCTTATAAGGAAGAGTCCACAATAACACAATCAGAGTCATGATTATATTGTATGTTTTTTACTAATACATTGAGAGAAGATTTATATAAATTACCTATGTCTTAAAAACACGTGTTACTCCCAACTGTGTTAACACATGTTTTTCAAGAGAATACTGATATTTCCACAATGTGATTTGCTATAATAGAATTTTCATAAGCTATACAAGTCTTTAATAATAAATCAACTTAAACTTTTTTGGAAATAAGTTCTACTAAAGATTCATAATTAGCATAGTCCTTCAACGACTGTACAAGTTCATCCAGTAGATACTTTCCTTGCATAAAAGTTTCAAGATCATGAAGTGACTTATTTATTCTGTGATCTGTGACCCGGTTCTGTGGAAAATTGTATGTTCTTATTTTCTCTGACCTTCCTTTAGTGCCAATCTATATATTAAAAAAAAAATATGAGATAGTTAAATTCAGGGCAACTAAGCCTACAAATTTAACTTACCTGGAGGTTAAGTTCTTGGTGTATAATTTGAAACACAACGTTAAGAACCAAGTTTTAAATATTTTGAACCATTAAATAACTTGGGAATATGATATGGAAAAAAGAATACAGGCTTTATAGTCACACAGGTTAGAATTTGAATTTTGAATCCTCTCTCTTCAGTAATTTATGGCTTCAGACAATTTATTTCAACTCTAAACTTTAGTTTCCCCATCTGTTAAATACAGACTAACAACACCTACTGCACAGCGATGATGCATACATACAGCCTGGCACACAGATGCTATTCAGATGGTAGCTAAATACATATAGTCTAACTTAATCTGGTCATCATCAGTCATGGTGAAGTGATGACCTCTGTGTAATAAGGAGTTAACAGAAGGGCCCTGTAATTATAAAAATCAAATGCCAAACAGGAAGAAAGTAAGTTCAGTTTCCTTTCTAGCTTTCTTCCATAATTTTCAAAGGATTCAAAATGAATGGGAACTCCAAATACCTTTTTAAAATAACCTGGATGAAAGTCTGAGAAAAACACCTTTGCATATAAAACAGGGCAGAGGTGTAGGTTCATATAAAACAAGTGTGGCCCTCGGTTGGGCCACCTGAAGTGCCCTAATTGTGACAGATACACTGAAATAATTTTAACATATATAAAAACTGGGTTCTTTAAAAATATTTTTATCCTTTAAAAGCATTTTTTTTTAAATTCACTTTTACCTGAATTTTTCTAGCATTGTATCTTTTAGTTGTTTCTTCTTCTAGATGCAGGCTGTACAGTTTTGCACGTAACTTTTTCATGGCCATCTCTCTATTTTTCAGTTGAGATCTCTCTTGTTGGCATTCAGAAACAATACCTGAATAATGTTATGAGAATTAAAGAGTTTTAATAGAAAAATCTTCATTTATTATCAAGGAATACTCCTTTTCTTTCTCATCCTTTTTCTTCTTCCTTTATAAGGGGAAAAAATAGGACTCTAATATAAAAAAGGAAGATCATAAACTTAACAAATAACTTTTATAGTTATCAGAAAACTGAAAATTTGAGTTCTAGCTCAAAGTATTATTGAAGGCATACATACTAAACAATAAGCATTAATCATTTAATATGGGTTTTTTGGTAACTTCAGCTAGCCACCATAATTTTTATTAAAGTAGTAATTACTTATTATACAGACTGAATTATAAAAGTTAATCTTATTACCAGACGTAATCACTATTAATATTTTTGAGGCTATCCTTCCACTTTTTTCTATTCCTGTTTGTGTTACATGACATCATCTTTAAGTTTAACAAGAGGATTTCCTCATATTGAAAAAAAAAAAAGTCAACCCAGCATGCCCATCAACCACTATCAATTAATAGGAATTATGCCTACTTGAGATCGTTTATAGTAAGAGGTTTTTGTATTCGTTCTAGGTTACTGAGGTTTACTATCCATATGCTCTTTACCATATGTACGTCACTACATTAATACTTGTTCTACCTAATAGTATTTTGAAGACTTAACAAATACTTAGCTATAGCTCCACTGCATAACTGCCTGGAATCAGAACCCCTGGGTGTCTGTAAATGGACTTAATAGAAAGGAACTCCTAAAATTACTTGCAAAACTTTGCATATAAGTATGTTTCTGGGTAGCAGATCCAAGCTTTCATTTTCTCAAAGGAATTCATTTCCTCCTCCTTCCAAAAAAGGCTAAGAACCTGTAACATTTAGAGCATTTTCTGATAAAGAAGAACCCATACTACTTCACTGTGAAGATTTTTTAAATTAATGGTATAGTCACTAACATGGCATTTCCTGGGGAGATCCCTCCCTCTTCTTGGCTTTGTCATTATCCTGCAGTGTCGGCTAAGGGTTCTAGATAAACTAAGTACTGAGTAACAATCCCTTGTAGCCTGTATTCCCCTGGTAACTGGGGATCTGTTTTGGTGGAAAATTAATCAAGTCGTTCAGAATTTGATTTCTTTCTTAGTGTTTTCTGCTGAAGAGGCAAGTGCGTACCTGTTGGAAGATGCACTATACGGACAGCGCTGTCCGTGGTATTGACGTGCTGCCCTCCGGCTCCACTGGCTCGCTTAGTATCAATTCTCAGATCTTTAGGGTTAATCACCAGATTAATCTATACACAGAAGGAAAAGCTGAGATTTTAAACAATTACATGTATGATCTGTTTAAAGGGCAGAACTAACCATTTATAAATAAAAATACCTGCCATGTAGAGAATTTATACAAGATTTAGAAGGTTTAAATTTAAGAATAGTTGGAAGGATACCATTTTTAAAACCTTTCTTTTTGGAAGAGCAGAATAACAAAATATAATACAAAACAAAATCAAGCCCTCCCTAATCCTCAAAACTGAGCTTCTCTCTCTATGACCCTCTACTTACCAACTCAGAACTCAGCTACTAATAGAAGTGTGAATGTAACAGCTAAAATGACATTTTGTGAAATATTTCTGAGTTTATAAAGACTTCAGCAGAGGTAAAAAAATGACGCTAGCTTAAGAACTATGGGAAGGGTTTATTTTAATTTTAAACAAAGGAGGACTTAAACATATTTTGAGGCAGAGGAGAGATAAATGGAAATCGCAAAGGCCAAGAAATCAAGGGTGTAGACTCAGTTCATAAATACACTGGGCTCTGACATCAGGATAATGCTCTGTCCTGGAGTCTGAAGCCCTGTATTTAAAAAGCTATTTCGTGAACATCTGTGGACCACTCTGACAGGTCCACCACCCGGGCAGCAGGGATCCCACCATTCAAAGGCCCTCCATGTCTCACAGCTTCTTATGTTACTAGAAGAACTAAATGAGGTGATATATGGACCTCAGTCTCCATCTTTTCCTGAAAACTCCTTTCATCTCCAAGATGCTTAAGCCAAAGTGACTAGTATCTAGGTGTGGCTCCTGCCATCTCTCCTACTTCCTTCTCTCCTTGAACTGTTCTGTTCTGCATCTCAGCTTCACACAAAAATTAGATCTAAAGAAAGGAACTCCATTAACCCTAGAGAGTCAAACAGGTCTTTTCCCCAAAATTAATAAGCAGAAACCCTCAAATTTCCTTCTCAAATCGGAAAAACAAGTCAGAAATTTCCTATCACTTTTCAGCAAAAGAGACGTTAAGCAAAAGAGAACTTCCCAACTAAGTTACCTTACAAATATTATACGCTGAGAATTTATTTGTGAAAATAAAGTATACTCATTATGAACACTTAACAATGTATTTCCATTTTAATATGATTGCATTATAAAGTAGCAATTCTGTTAAGCAGTCACCCTTTGTTAAAACAGGATTCTCCCTACTAATACCCTGGGAACAAGTCACGTGCAGAAAGTCCTTATAAAGATAATCACTCTTGAACTCTATTTAATACTATGTCTCCTGTAGAGATGGTCTCAAAATACCTACTTTAAGCTTAGTGGTAGGAAAAAATTAATAAATAGACAATCCAAGATTAGATAACTTATATCCTTAATTCTTACCTTCTATTGTTAAAATCATACTCTTTGGACTGAAATATTTGTAAAACCAACTCAAAATATGTGATGAAGGCCAGATAAAAAAAGGAGATACTCAGTTCAGTACAGTGAGTGTATTCTGGGGACAAGGCACTGCCCTGGGCCCAGGATTCCAGGGAGAGGGGACTGCAATGCCTCACCTCTGTGGGTTGGGGTAAGATTGCCACGGTCATGGTGCTTGTGTGGATGCGGCCTTGCTTCTCTGTCTTGGGCACTCTCTGTACTCTGTGCACACCTCCTTCAAATTTCATGTGCTTATAGGCTTCTGAGCCTCCAATGCTGGCAGACGCATGTCTAAGGCCACCTTGAAAACATTGGGAACACCTTGAAACATTTTATTATACCTGCCATTTATAAACAACTGACTATCACTTCTACCATCTTGAAATACATTTAAAAGAGCTTCAAAATAATAAGCATATCGATTATAAAACATATTGAAAATCTTTAGCACATCTATGATATTCAGTGTTTTAAGACTTGATATATTAATATCTTTATTGCTTATAATTATTACATGTAAAGCATTTTTGTTAAAAGTGATTCAATAACACTTCTAAAACCTTACTTTTAAAAGACCATTAGTCATTCAAAGGTTAGTACTAAACGACTAACATTTTATAGGTCATTTGAAAATTGGTATATTTGCATTCAAAATAATTATTAAGTAAATAAGCATAAAACTACTTAAGCATCCTTACAAATATATTATAAAGCCTTGTCATGGTCTTTCCAATCCTTTTCCTAGGATATACAGATAAATTAAATCTATACGTTTCTTGAAACAGAAAATCGAACAGTTTACTGACCTGTTTCACTTGGGAAATATTCCAGGGTTTCAAAATGCCATCTTTTAAATGTGGCATATTGCTGATACATATCAAATATCTCTGAAGTAAACAACATTGCCTCCTGACCCCCAACTCCAGCAGTTACCTCCAGGATCAAGTCACTTTCATCTGTTTCTTCTGAGGGAGCCAAAAGTAAGATAATCTGCAAATAGAAAAATATCACCTGTCCTATAATTAAGATTTAAAACTTAAACCATATTGCCAGTTAGAACTGTATAATGCATAACTTCCAAAATATATGACTGTTATAACTATATTAAAAATGCTGTAAGGTTCAACTAAAACTTACAGGTTTGTTTTCATTTCTTTTTGGTCTTCATGTATACTTTGTATCAGTTCCCTATTCAGTTAATAATTAAGTGCTTGCTGTGAGTAGGGCATTATATTGTGTGCAGAATGCAAAAGAAGATTCTAGCTGTGTCCCTTGGAAATGGATAGCCTAGTATGGTGAGAAAAAAAAACACTCAAATTGCATTTGTATTTTTTTGAAGCTTCTATAATATGAAAGACAAACTTGCAACTTTGGAACTGAAGATGGCCTGACAGATGACCTGGTCCAATTCTCTCATTTTACATGTAAAAGAAAATGAGTTGCCAGAAGTTAAATGACTTGTTAAAGAGCCAAACCTTAGTTACTGGCAGAACAGGCACAAGAACTCAGATCCTTGTGCCTACATCAGTCTTCCTCCCATTACAGCAGTATGCTTCATGCTTCAGTATGTGCTAATTAAGGAGATACAGAAGAAAGACTTCTTAGACGAGGGAAATTAAGTAAAAAAAGCTGCCAACATTTATTGGTTCTTTAATATTGCCAGGCACTCTGCTAAGCACTTTATGTACTTCAATTCTTGAACTATCTTGGGCAGCTACTACTAACAGCTCCACCTTAGGCTGTGAAAACTAAGTTTAGTTTGGTTGAGTACTGAAGTTGCCCAGTATCATACAACTAGAAAATGAAAGAGCTGGAATTTGAACCCAAGTCTACCTGAGTTTTGAAATACCACACTCTGTGTTGGTCAACAGTAATACTTGTTTTCTTACTTTTCCATCTCTCTAGCCTGTGCCAACAGTATGTGACCATTCAGATCTTGAACTAGCAAATGAGAGAATTTACATCTGTTTGTTAATTACTAGCCAGTGAGCAGAAATCGTTAATATATATGTCCTTCGACTTCACAAAAAAAAATTAGAAAATGGGTAGAAGACACGTGAATTTTCACTCTATCGTGGAACTATTCTCCTAGAGTGGGTGGTGGGGACACTAATTTTTGGTAAGTTCCGCACTTTGATTGAGAGACAGAATCTCTAAACTGAGCACCCACTTTCCAGGCTCCTTCCTCACCGTACCATGTTCTTACTTCTGTCTCCAGAGATAACAGCTCTGCTTTACAGAATTAAAGAGTGGATCTAATTTCACTATTCTTCATCTAACTCCGTGTGTTCTGCAGTTCTCCTAGGTATGACACTGAATCAATGCAATTCCATTTTAAAAATCCTGAGGGCCCATGCTAGGCTGGCACTCAAATAGTGTCAGAGGCACAAAGATCAAGAAATGTTCCTGCTGCCTTTCTGGCAAATCCTATTAATATGACATTCATCTTTCTTTCAGAGTTCTATAGTCCTTTTAGTACGTAAAAAAACAGGACCACAGGCAGTATGCTTTTTCCTGCTTTAGAAACCAGTTTATAATTATAAATACTAGCAAGCTGCTGAATTCTTGACTTGCTTTTATAAACTTCCAGTAAAATCCATTTTTACTAGAAGTAACAGTACGAATGCTTTATGCTTTGCACAAATACTATACCTGATGCTTCAACTGAGCTATTTCTTTTTGACACGAAGTTATTTCATTCTCTGCAAGTTTCCTTAAGTCTTCATTTTCATCTAAGAAAAAAAAGGTAGCAACTTAAGTTTTCCTTAATTAGTGTTAAATTGCTAACAAAATTCAAGGTAATAATTTTGTTATTATAACTGAAGGAAAAATAACAACTTGGGGGGTAATTTTAGTGGTGTCTGACACATAGTAAGTCAAGATTTGCCAAATTACATTTTCTGTTGTTTTTAAGCTAAGATACATTCTGCCAGCAACAATTTTCTAACATTGTTTACTTCTCTATAATTTGATTTTTAAAATATTTAACCCTTAAATCCACTTGGACTTTAAGCTTGGCTTAAAGTATGAAATCAATTTAATTTTTCCCCAAAATATATTTTTTTCTAATTTTTTACAACTGTCTGGGCATTTTCCTTTTCTTCTAAATGACTTAATTCAGACTCTCCTTAACTCTTACCTAAATGACTGCATTAGCCTTCTGTTTTCCATGGCATCTTCAGTCTTATTCCAGGATGATTCTAAACTGCGACAAATCAAGGTTCCTAAGCAACAAGGCTATCTCCATCATTCACTCTCCAATCTAAAAGCTTCTGCTGGCTCCTTCTGCCAGCAGGATAAAATCAAACTTTTTAGATTAGTATTTGAGCCCCTTTCAAAATGGTTCCAACCTCCAACTCCCCATAATTCTTCCTAGGTTAACACAGAGTTCAGTGATTAAGAGCTTGGGATGTAGAGTCAGTCCAATCCAAGGTCCATTCCTTACAAGTTGTACAACCCGAGCTGAGTTACTTTACTTTTATGCCTCGGGTTCCTCTTCTGCTGCATGAGGCTAATAGAACCTACCACATAGTTTATTATGTGAACTGAGTGAGTGAATAAAGAAAGCTAAACAAAGCCTGGAGTGTGGTAAAGGATCAATAAGGGTTAAACTATTACTGTATCATCTAACGGTGGGCCTTTATCCCTGTACAGGCTTTTTCAACAAGTTCTCCTTGCTTTCCTAAGTCTTTATTCATATATGTTCTCACTTTCAGCTGTATTATAATTAATTTTCTTGCCCCAGTAGATTGTAGCTCTCTCTAGAATGTTGCTACCCAATCTGTTGTCCACACACCTGCAGCTAGGCGTCCCCAGAAGCTTGCAGAAATGCAGAAACATGGGCCCCACGCAGACTCAAATGGACACTAATCATCTGTGAAACTTGTAAAAAATGCATATTTCTAGGTCTCATTTTCTGAGTCTGGGTCTCCTTAGCAGCCCCTTTCCTGTCACTTTTGCTGCTGGTTCCCTTACCACGCTTAGAGAAACACTGCTCTTGAACCCATAATAGGAATAGTGCCTTATTTGTTCCGGGTTAGCTAATGATCTCCTGCTATTAAATACGCAACCGATAAAAGTCAACTTAAGTTTTGTAAAAGGATGCAGACGGCTGTGTCACGGGAGCACAAGGAGAGGATGGGACCAGGACCCACATAAGGATGCCCTGGCCTCTGATGCAAATCAAAAAGGCCTACAGCTGGGTGGACTTCAAACTCGGAGAGACTGTGGACACCTGACCAGCGGCTTAGTGGAAATGACAAGCGAAGAGTCAAGAATCCGCTCTGAATCCCGTTCTCCTGGGCCTGGCCCTTACCATGCAGCAAGTGCTCGGTCTCCTGCAGCTCCTGCTCCTTCTCGCTCAGAAGTTTGGCCACCGCCACCAGCTCAGTCCCTCTGACCCGCAACTGGGCTTCAGACCCTACCTGGCGCTCGAGAAAGGTCCGCAGGGGCCCGCCGCGGGCGAACAGCTCCTCCACCGGCAGGCTACCGCAGCTTACGTGTCGCCGGGCTGGACCAGCAGCCCGGAGGGCCCAAAAGCCCCGAGCAGCACTCAGCAAAAGCCGGGACCGCATCGCTGAACTCGGACCGCCAAGGCCGAAGCGAGCCGTAAGTTCTGGACAGAGCAAGTCCCGCGACACCGTGCAGTTCGCAAAGAGGGGCGGGACCTAGCCGAGCCCCGCCCACCGCACGCGCAGCTCTAACAGGGCCTCCCGGAAGTCTGGCTGGGAACTTCCGGCCAAGCATTATTAAATGCCGCTTTACTAGCGGAAGCCGGAAGTTGAGGAGGCAGAGCGGAAAGCGATAGGGGCGCATCCGGGAGACCTTGGACACCTCCTCTAAACGCAAGGTAAGAAACGCCTACTTGAATGAGCCGGGGTGGAGTGTTGGGCCGAAGGAGGAAGGGAATAGGTCGTCATCACGTTTTCTGACGTCGCGGGTTTGTGTGCGAAGCACTCAGGATTTCAAGTACCGCATTGGAGGGCAGTGTAGTGTCCGCTTCGGGGGCCGAGGCCACAGCATGGTTGTCCTTTCCCGTGCCAGCCTGGACTGTCGTCTCCAGGAGAGAATTGTGGGATAGTCATCAGTGTGTGCATGTGTTTACTCCTCTTCCGTTTTTCCTGCTCCTATTTCTCTTTTCGACAGTGGTTAAAGCTCGTATTAACGAAGACGTGGCAGGTGGCTTCTAAGGCAACCACAAAGTGATTTAGCAAAATCTGCTTTCATGTCCTTTATCTGTTTATAAACGACTTACTTTCACACTGAGTCTCCTGCCCATTCTCACTTACTCCTTGTTACTCTGCTACGTTTTAAAGAGGTTGAGCATTTCCGTGTTCCAACAAACCACAGCCCGGCAAAGCCTTCAGAGCCCTGCCTCCTGTAGCCCAACCACCATTCCTCCCCCCACAACTTCAGATAGCGGATTAGTGCCAGGACTACTGAAGTTTATTGGTATAATGCTTTTTGCATTTTTCAAAAGACCTTTTATGGCTCACTAGAGGAATGTATATGAAGGCATAATACAACCAAGACAGCCTGGAGATGCAAGGGCTAAACGCTCAGTCTGGGAACTCCCACTACCTAATTGGTTTGAGCGGAGTTTACAAAGTGATGTTTTCTCTGTGCAGAAGACTGCCATATTGAAAAAGCTTCCATCTCATTAAAAAAAAAAAAAAACACGATAAAATACGGGAGCCCTGGACAGGGTTAAGCCATCCTTAAGTCATCTAATCAAAATGATTGATAAAATGAGCCTCTTTCATTTCTTTGCTCTACATACAAATGCAGAGTGAAGTAGAAGAATAAGATAATTATTCAAATAATTGAAAGCCGAAATAGGATTTGCTACTTTGAGGCTTCAGCTAACTCAATTCTTCTTTTCACTTTGAATGTGTATTAAAGCCAAACTACTTTATATATACTACTATATATATATAGTTTTAAAATACTGGCCAAAACCCAATTTAAAAAATTCTAATCTGAGTATAGAACAGGACTGATTAGATTGCTTATGTCTTTTTTAAGGAATAGTTATTTCCCAAGTCTACTCTCAACTTTGAATATTTTTTTAAGCATAGAACTGTGGGAACCATTTGAACTCAACATAAATCTCTCAGCTGAATTCTCAAAAGGAGTCATTTTAAGAATATATTTTATTATTTATAAAAGGTGCAAAAATGTTATAAGCAATAACCTGAGAGAACAATGTAGAGACTCCAGCCAGAAATTATTTTCCCTCAGATGGGTAAATAATTTAAGTGACATAAATAAGTGTACCTATACTCCTACAGTGTTACACCAATGAGGAAACAGTAAGTTGTCTAAGGATACATTGGTGAATTCTTTATTAATTCAAAACATTTTTAAAAAGTCAGTGTAATGCATGTGCATTTTACAATAATATCCATAGGTTTCCACAATAGAGTCAAATGACAACAGCTGTAGTTTGATTTACTTTGAAAACTCAAAGAAATATACTTAGTTTGAGATTTCTGAATTTCCTTACATTATTGTCATGCTCAAATTCTACTATATGTTGAAAATTCTAGCATTTTCAGGAATTCTGTTATTGTACATAGGTAAAATAATAAAATAGATTCAAGGAAGGGGGAATAAAAACCCAAAACAACTTGAATTGGAGGGAAAATCATCTGGATTGTCTATTCAGTTTATAAGTACCTACAGTTATTCTGGCATTGCAAAATAACCAAGCATGGTGTCTCAAGTTTTATTCATGCATTCAAAACTTCTTTATGGTCCACTAATAAATATTGGTGAAGTCCAAAATATGGATATAGAGTATTAAGTACAATGAACATAGTAGCAACAAAAATACATACGTTCAATATGATAAATTTTACAGAACCAAACACATTGAAATTATTTTTAATATTTAGCAAACATCCTAAAATCATATACAAGAAACGCTGTATTTATGACAAATAGGTTAAACCAAAGGGGAAAAATCAAGCCTTTTACATTACCCCAGTATTCAGTGTTCATTGTTCAGTGGAAGGCTGAACAATATAAAAAAGTACTCAGCAAATGATCATTGATTTAGATTACCTCTTATGACCATTAGTAAGACTAAAATCTTCACTACCCAAGGGATACAGAGGATTAAGGTAATTATACAGGTAGTTCAAGGGAAAAAAATCACTTTCACCTCCATTAAGTGAATACTGAACCTAACACTATTTTGGAGTTTTATTTTTCCATTTGAATGTCCAGTTCATTATGTTTTCTTCATAGAATTAAGTTCACATTCATTTAATGGAACCTAACAGCAGTGCTGAGGAGTCTGCTCAGAATTTTTTTTTTAATCTCAGTGTAAATGTCTAGTAAATTTACCTCCAATATAACCTCTTAAACAGTGGAAAAACCTAACAGACATGCCTCAGCCAGGTGATGAAGTTCAGCATCAACAATAGTAAGTCATGATGACGATATGTATTTTTGATTTGATATATGAATGGCACTTTGTAGTCTTCCTTCCAGAAACCGGAAACACCTGTCTAATCATGGGAAAAACATCAGACAAATTCCAGTTAAGGGACATCTTACAAAATACTAGACCAGTACTCCTCAATACTTCCAATGTCATCAAAAACAAGAAAACTTTGAGAAAATGTTGCAGCTAGGATACATGCTGACTAAATGTGATGTGGTACCTGGAATAGAATCCTGGAACAGAAGAAGGACCTTAGGTGAAAGCTCTGAATGAAGTGTGGACTTAATGATGCATTGATATTGGTTTATGAATTGTGACAAATGTCTCATGGATGTGCAGCCTCTGGGACCATCTGTACTGTCTTTGTAATTTTTCTATAAATCTAAAATACTCTAAAATAAAAGGGTGTAATGAAAAATGTTACGAACACACAGCCACCTTTTGTTTTATTTTCATATTTTCATGATAAAACTATTTTAAAGATCATGCTACTTCAGTATTAAAAAGAATACTTTCTATTTCATGCCAGTATCAATGTTTCTCCTGGCCAGTTGCTTTTAACTTAATTTTAGCTCTGACTGCTACATATTTATTGGACAAATTACCTGATAGTTATATTCTTCCGATCCTTGGGAATGTTGTTTTATTTCCTTTGGAAATAAAATTTTCAAATGGTTTCTCTTATTTAAACTTCGATTTAAACCTACAGCATTATACACACGTTTGCGCACACCCACACCCACACATGCACATCTGTACATCTCTGTGTGTGTGTGAATGTCATTGAAAGAGACATATTTCTTGTTTGTAGATTTAGTGTGATGTTGGTGAACTGAAAACACTGATTTTAATCAAATTATTGAATATTTGAAGCAATAACATATTAATATATTCCTCCATCTTAAAATAAGCGTGGCTATATTTTTTTTGGATGAATAATTAAATCAGATTTTTAAAGAACAACTTGAAAAAAATAGAGGAAAAGTGCATTAAAATGGCATTGAGACATACATTCTTGAAAATGGGAATTATTACTGAGCTGGAGAATTTTGATGCAATAATAATATTGTATGTAACACTTCATTCTTTCCATGTTTATTTCACTTAATTCTCATGACCATCCTGTAAATTAAGTATTATATTCCTCATTTGAAGATGAAGAAACAGGCTCAGAGAGAATAAGCGATTTGCCCAAAGTCACATGAGACAGAAATGTAACTTAAAGTCCAGTTTATAATTAAGGCCTGGTCTTTGGAAACAATACTTAACCACTCTGTGCACTGTTGTGTGTTGCAGGGGGTATTACTAAGAGTGTTGCAGGGAAGATCTGAAGCAAGTTTTTGGTATCAGTTTTATTGATAAATATTTGCAGTTGTAGCAAGTAAGAATAACTAAACTTTTTACAGATTGAATACTGTTTTTTTCAGGAGAACAAATATTTTATATTGTTTAGAAATTTTAAAAAAGCTGAAGAGAGCATGCAAATAAAATAAAAGTGTTTGCAAAGTATATTTTGAAATCTAGGGTCATAAGCTGTCAATATAAATAGACAGGCAAGAGAATTTTCTGTAAATATCTTTATCACTTATTAAAATAATCTACCAATCAATGAAGTGCAAAGTTTTCAAAACTCATGTTTGATAGGGTTCTATCTACAGGCATTTTGGATCTAAGAAATTTTAGGTGGCTTATTCTCCTATTTCTGATTGTATTTTAAATTTCTTCCAAAGCATCTGATATATTGTATTTTTTGCAAATATAATTTGTCGCAATTAGAATATGACTTTTTTCAGTATAAGTTAAACAGGTATAGAATAAAATGGATAAATTAAAAAATAAGATTTAAGTGTTATTTTTAAATCAGCATTTTAATGGGGTGAAAGTGTATTTTTGCCCCTAAGAAATAAATATTTACCTATTTCTAGCATCCTTTTGCAAAACTGAACTATCAGGTAAATATATGATACACATTTCATTCCATAAGTAAGAACATAGGCAGCATTAAAGGATACTAATAAACACCCATGCACCATGACCACATATCAGAACTGGTCATCCTATGTACATATTTTAAGATTAAAAAAAAAGACCACTTTATGGTCTTGATTTTTGCACTTCATAATGTTAATATCAAAACTGTGTTTTGCTTTTATTGTTCTTTTGCCAGTGTACCTACTGTGCTTTGAGCTGCTCTATAACACTGTCAGGACATACGTATTTCTTTTAGATAACGTGCTAATAACAATTAACTAGAGTAAAGAAGCATCATCATTCATTACTAGTGAGCTCTATGTTCAAGATCTATCTCTGAAGAAATCTGGCTCTCCAATTGATATATATATAATATGTATTTTTAATATAATCTATATCCTTATATTTCCATTATAGATACATCTGAAGTTAGACACCATAGAAAGAGCATTAACCTCTTTCTGTGTGCATTAGCAGATTCTAACAGCATGGAAAGGTATCTTGGCAATCTAAAACACAAAGGGTACCCTCTAAAGTGCTGCTTTTTCCCCAGGGAGGAATTTACTCACTAGGAAAAATCAAACTCTACCAAAACAAATATTGTGCTCTTGAAATGGTAGCATAGACACCAGTTGAGGGCTCTTTTTGTTTGTTTATTGTAGCTCTGTCATTAAAACAGAAGGAATTATACCATACTTTAAAAAGTGGTAGAGTTGCAAATATACAGACATACTCTTAGATAGAAACTTTAGATATTTTGAAATTAAAAGAGAAACCTCCCCTCCCCAGAAAATAGGAATTTAGCACAGAAATCCTCACACAGCGTGATTACCAGCACCTGATGTGTAAATCTACTTTGGAGTCATTCTCAACACAACTTCCTGACCAGGTTTCAACAGGGTGTATACCAGCTTCAAAGTCTCTATTCTTCAAATGCCCAGGGTTAGCAATTAGGACTCTTTATAAGGGTCCTTATCTTTTACATTTGGTAAAATGTTAAAGGTATTGTCACACAGACAATTCATCTAATAGTCCAAAGTATCTTATAAAGATAACTTACGACTAGCAGGTCACCATCATATATAGTAACAACAAGAATATAAAGTCTACGTTTAAAAAAAATTTATGCATGCAGTGTATCATAGTATATTACATATTTTCTAGTCATGTGCACCAATTTGTTGTACCTCAAACACAGCAACAAGTATGATATCACAACATATATTTGTATACATCACAGTAGCATAACAAACTCAATTCTAATCAAGAAAAATAATTTAGGAACAATAAACTTCACAATAGAAGTGATGATTCTTTTAGGTTTTTCTTCACTCATTAGGAAAAAAAATACGACTTTTTGTAAACATCTTCATAGCTATCTTTTTTCAACATATTAGTGAAAACTGTTATTCAAATAGTAAGTATCTAATAGACCTGGATTAAGTATGTCTTAACACACTAACACTTTCAGACAAAAACAGGCATTTGTTAAAAGAAAAGATTATTATAAATATTTTCTATCTTGTATTTTAACTACATTTTCATAAATAATGTATTTAAAAGTGCTGAATATGATAGGATAGTCAGCAACGCCAGTGTAAACAGAACATTTTGTTTTCTCCTCTGCAAACTTTTTTTTTTAATCCCATTTTGTCAAACACTGCAACAGTTAAAATATTTGCATAGGGAATAGATAATAGCCCTTTTAACCATATCTCCTGAATTCTATTTAAATTAGAAAATAAATTCACTTACAAAACAATTCTTGAAATGTTTTAAGTTTTATGGAAAAAAGAAAACTATGATGCCAGCCTTTCAAGTAACATAAATTAAAAAAAAAAACCCAAACTTGTTTTTTTAAAAAAAAAAAGTTTAATAAATTAAAAAAAATGAGAGGTAGTTAAAAAATGACAAAGGAAACCTACAATTTTAATAACATCCTTAATATAAGGCCAGTATTCTCAGTGGATATAAATATTTTTAAAACTTTCATTTTAGGTTACTCAATATTATGTTTATTAAGTTCACGATTAAAAAAATAGCCTCCAGGGGATATTAATATTCAAATGTAACACCTTGATATAAATATGACACTGACATTTTTGCGTGTGTGCGCACAGTAGGATACTGTTTTCTTGAATGTCAAAAGTACATGCCAGAATCAGGCAGGTATTTTTTTTTTTGTCTTAAAGATTTAATGGTACTTATAAAAAATAATATGGCAGCTAGGAGATTTGAGCACTGCACTGCCTTTCAGTTATGGATGAGTATTAATAGTTTGGTTTTAACATTTTTTAAATAAGTCATTTTTAAGATACTATGTGAAAACAGTTAAGGTCTGAAGTAGAGAATTACCTTCTAGATAACCCTTATAAAACATTTCTTGGTTAAAAACTAACTTAGCTTTTCATTGGATTTCACTTTCAAGGAAAATATGCCACAGCACAGGTGCTATTCATCAAAATGTTTTGTGATGCTACATGTAGGCATTCCTTTATTAGATCCTTTCTTTATATTCCAAAACTAAGTTATCAAGCTTATTATTTTTTTCTTGCTGAAGTACATACTTTACACAACCATTTTAGAACTGGAGAGCCAGTCTTTAATAAATTAATTACAGTATTGGACATCTATTATATACATAGGTTCATTTTCTTCTATTACAATTAAAAAACAATATCACTCTGATTTGTCATTGAGATAGAAATCTTCAAATTGTTTTGTGCTTTTTTTCTCTTTTCTTCTTACATATATATAGTTTTTACATAGCAAACTCTTCTGTAATGAAAATGCCGCAGTTTTGGCAGTGAACAACCAGAGGAATCCCCCGTTAGGATTTCCAACAAACAGAGATAAATAGCTCTTTTTTTCATGTACAGAAATATTGGCTTCAAAATTAGTGTACTGAACACAGTATATAGTATGTTAAATGTCATAGTTAACAATTTAAAAATTGGCTTTTTCTGTCTTAGGTTATATTTAAAAATGCAAACCACAGCCAGTTTTTTGGCAATTATTTCTATAAGACCATATTGCACAAAAGTCCTTAAATACAGATATAAGTTATGCCGTTGGATTAAATATTACAACAGCTACGTGGCAAATGAAGCAGTTTTACTTTGCACATGCAGTCCCTGGATACACTAGGAGACTGTTCATAGGACTACAAATACAGTTTGCTTGCAAGTAGAATGCGTGTTGAACAAAAACAAACTTAATATGGCAATTCATTGTTTTATGTGGTATTTTCTCTCCAAACTTAACCACAGATAACCTTGATAAAAATGGAGACAAAGACTATATGGTTGTATTTTCACAGTAGCCTGAGGAATGCTAAACTGTAGTTCTCCAGGAACTCAGTTTCAGATGTTACTTAACTACTTTTCTTTCTCATCTCAGCCCTCCAACATGATTTTTTTAAATAAAAATTAAGATTCAGAAGTAGAGCTGGCAGTACTTTCAACAAATGACTTATAAATTTGAGAGTTCAAAAACCTTGGGAAAGAATCTCTGTGCATTAAGGTATAGATCTGAAGCTGAGCATCTTCATACATGTGAGGATTAGGATCCAAGAGATTTCTATCGATCACCTCTCTAACTCGAGAATCGAGACTGACCTAAAAAGAAATAAGAGCAGATACATTAAATAATATTTTTTCAAAAGATCTCAATTCAGTAACTATAGGTTTGTGACAATTCAGAGAAATCTAAGAGTAAACCTCAAAGAGTAAACCTAAAATCCTGAGGTTATGTTTTCAAAGGTTACATAACCTTGCATACTTTTCTTCTTTCAAAGTTGAATTAAACAAAAACCAACTTTTAAACAAGAGCTTTGGTTCATAAATATCTTGGCTTACTTGGATTTACCTTTTCTATGCATTTTTCTCTGGTGTGTTTGACAATTTCTATTCATTGTTGAGGTACCAGAGAATTCTGGAGCCAGAACATGAATTTCCCTCCTCCTATTATGTGACTGCCAGGGTGACTTTCTCCATGGAACAAGATAAAAAGTCTGGCAGAGAGTAGTTCTCTGTCAAAACGTAACGTGTATATCAAATGCTGATTCCCAGGGGTTTCATATCCCAGTAAGTCCTACTGTGTCAGAGGTAGGAAACCAGGGATGTGGGAGGGCTGACCCCAGTGGGCATTCTTCAGGTCTTACGTTTACTGGCAGGGCATAGCAAACTCTGTAGTCCTCACAGAGCAATACATCTAGAGATCTCTGTTCTAAAGATTAAGCAGAACAATTGCTTGAAATGTAGCCTTTGAAAGGAGAAATGTAAGTAGGAATTCAGAGTACCTGTTAAAGTAATCATACAGAATTATTTGGAAAGTTTCTTTCTCACTAAATGCTAATCCTGTTGGAACTGGTAGGGTATGTTGGATCCAGAAGGTGGGAAAATTAAATAGCAGTCAAGGCATGCCTGGGGAGTAGGACTAAGCTCTGCCCTGAAATGACCTGTTAGCAAAGCTCTCTAAGAGGCGAGCACCATCTCTGAGTCCTGATTGGTGTCCTTAGTTCTCACTGCTGAACAAGGACCAGGGCATCGGCGTCCACAGTTATCTGCCTCATGATGTACTCAAGTCTAAACAGGCTTTTCATGTATGTATCTAAACTGTCACAAGCGTTTTGTGAAAGACTTTTTGGTTCTGGCTTCTTTTCCCACCCACTGTTTGGACTAAGCTTGGGTCTGAAACAGCCCCAGTGACTGAGGCCCCTCATATTTCATCTGGTGTCCCCAGATTCCCAAGCTCTGTAACCTGTGTGGAATTGGGTTCAATGATACACCCGAGGGATGGTGGCCATGGGAGGACGTGTCAGGAAATGGTGCTCCAGACCCCATTTCAGTGGTTTGGCTAGACTAACTTACACATAGAAGAACTTAAAACATTTCTCGGCTGAACTATCTATTCTTCTCTCTAAATTCTAAAGGAAAAAAAAGAAAAGATGTTCTGGAAATGGATTGTTCAAGCTTTATTCTCTGCGTTGTTGCCATAAGGGTCATCATAAAGTATAAAGTAATAAAAAGTACAGAATTTTTATCTAAGTTTTATTTTTGAATGTCATTTGTGTTTATACTCAACAGGAAAATGTTTAAACTGGAGTTTAAACTGATTGATCTTATCCTGAAATGTAGTATTATGGTAAGGTGAGTCATAAACACATTTCTACTATTTTTGTAAATGGTGCTCTTACTTTCAAACTTAGGAACTATTTGTTTCATGGGAAAAAGAAACGTTAGATTAGTGATAAAGAAAGAAGGTCATTTATTTCTTAAATAATAGCATAATGAAATATATGCTATTTACCATATAACATATATTTAACATATTTAACATATGATAAATGAAACAGTTTATCAGGAGCTAGAATGATATTGGTTATCTTAAGACAGAGAAATAAGATACTTTGAATTACTAAATGTCTTGAGTCCTCATTGCGTGATTTAATTTTTTTTTACAAATTAAAAACAGTAGTGAAATATCATAGAGAAAATAGTACCATTCAACATTTAGTAATCTGTAACAAAAACACATTTGCTGTTTCCATTTAAAAAATAAAATATTTACCTTAATATCTGGTTGTTTGTTTGAAAAGGTTGTCGGTCAGTCAAAAGAAGTGTAGAGAGGTCAGATAACAAGGACAAACCCCATGGGTATTACAGTCTACAGTTTCATCTTGTGGCATCTTTGTGCTTCAGATTGTGGAACATCTATAATACAGGTCAGCAGGGGTGGATCCCAGCATGGACCTGAGCCACATTCACCCTAGGATTCATGCATCATTGGATGGCTTATAAGGCCATCTTATCTGGGTCCAGTGCATAAGGGACTGAGGGGTTTCCTATAAAAAACTCATCCTAAGGGAAGAGAAGGTTGAGCAGCACAAGACAAGAGCTATCCTTGGACAACGGAAATTCTTTTCTTACTCAGTCCTCACAGACTCCCCTCTGGGTGGGGCGCAGTAGTAACAGAGTTAAGAAAAGAACCACTGCTGTGAGATAGGGCACCAGACAACATGCTGATAGACTTGGCAGCATTTAACTGTTGGTGTTAGCAGTGGTGGGGACGTTGGCAGTGTTGAGAGGTGGTAACTGAAGCAAAGGCTGAAATGACTCTGTGCTAGGACTCAATGAACTCGGAAGCATCCATCACCATGGGGAGTAGGAGGTGGGAGAAGAAAGATGGGTGGCTCGCAAACATAAAAATACCCACCAGCAAGTGCATGAACTAGTTGGGAGGAAGATGAAGCTAAAGGTTCAACAGGAGTGTGGGGGTAAAGTGGGGAGAATGAAAACAAATCTTTCTAGTGTGGCTGCCAAAACCTGGGTCAAACTGAGTTATTTACCATGCTTGACCTTACTAGATTTCCTACCCCTGGCTCCAGTTCCCTCACTGATGATAGGTGAATATTACCCAAAGGGAACACCCTGAGTTTTGACCCTGCCTTTCTCTTCTAGCCTTCAAGAGGCAATGGAAATTTTGACTCTTTGGGCCTTTTTTTTTTTTCCAGGATTATACTGAAAATGGTGAATTATCACTGAAAGTCTTTTACCCTCATAAAGACCCTCCTTTAAGTCAGTTAATTCTTTGAACAATTATTTTACACATCATGATTAAGTTTTCAACCTGTTTTTTCTATTTTATTTTAAATTTTACTTTATCATGATTGAGTTTTCAACCTATTTTTTTCCATTTTATTTTAAATTTTACTCTTAAGTTGCTTTGTTTTGGATTCTCTTCCAAGTAAAATTCTGATTTTTTTCTTTTTCTTTCATAAGTCCATATTAAATTTTACCAATTATAGTTTCTGCCATTTGAGATGTTCTTTATAATTTTAACTAAATTTGGTCTTCTCATGTTAAATTTTATAGATCTGAAGACTGATTCTTTCATTTTAATACATTTTTTTACCATGAGTACTTTTAGTTGTATTATTTTGTGTTGTTTCTACTGAAAATAATTATAAATTGCAAATAAGACTGATTATTGTTTGTTTATTTGTTTTTGATGGGGGGGTAATTAGGTTTACTTATTTATTCTTAGAGGAGGTACTGAGGATTGAACCTGGGACCTCACACATGCTAAGCATGCGCTCTACCAGTTGAGCTATACCCTCCCCCCAAAACTGATTATTGGGGTGTATTCCTTAGAGCAAGGATCAGTGAAAGGATAAAGTGGAGTAATCATATTCCTGGTGGAATATAAGTTATGGGAAATTATCTTGCTTCTGAGGGGGAGTTCAGACATGTGATTAAGGTTGCTCATTCTCATTGTGTCTCGTGTTCTAAGTTTGGGTTCACAGAAATCTATAGTTGTGTCATGAACAAAATACTAGACAATGGAATAAGGAATCATCATACTGCAGTTGGAGGAGCACCACAACTGGAGCCAGAGCACCTTGGGTTGTGTCCTATCTCTGCCAGATACACTTAGTGTCCTTATTTCACCTTCCTTTGCTATAAAATGGTGCCACCTGTCCTAGAGGCTACAGGATTGTTGTGAGACATATTGTAATAATAAGACCATTTTGTCAAAACAAAATTTAAGCCCAATGTAAAGTAATAATAATAATAATTGATCATATGTATAATGATACCTTTTGGTCAAACCCAATGTCTTTAGACTTTGTATCAACTTGAATTTTTCTTTCTCAGAGTGACCTTACCTGACTAACCCTATTCTAACTACATCATTTGACCTCCACCCCCATCATAGTGGTTACCATGATTTTTAATTACTTATTTTTGACATGATTTGTCTGCCTTCCTGAAACAAAAGCTCCATAAGGTATAGGCCAGTGTTTTTCTTGTTCACCATCACATCCCCAACATCTAGCCCAGGACCAGGCTCGCAGGAAGTACTCAGCACATATGTTTTGAATTATAATAAGCATAAGAAATGACTCTAGGAAAATACAATCAACTGAGTCCTGTTTAGAAAAATGGGTTTAAATCATAAAAATGCTACATTCCCATAATTTTGCTTGAAGAGTCATCTGTCTAGATGCCCACATAGAACCCACATGTCTATCACATATGCATTATTTTTAGATAATCCTGGTGCTTAAATAGGCTTATTACTTTTTTTTTTTCCGTCCCAGATAGCCGCTGGAGGTTTAGGGTGAAATCAGAAGAAGCAAACAGTTTCTACTATTATTAAAATTGCCATAAAGCGGAGTCTGAAAGTCATAGACAGAGTGGGTTTTAGAGCTTTTTCCACACCATCATTCTACAAAATGAGGAAGCTGAGGTCACAGAGCATCGATGTGAGTTGATCAGTATCAAACAGATGGTAAGTGGCAGGGCTGGATTACAGCCCTGGTTAAGGACAAAGCCATCGCTAAGGGGATTTGTAGAGAACTGAACACACATAGTTTTCTTCAATTCCGCTGTCTTACATTTGTTGCAGGATTTATAATTATCTCTTTATTCAATAGTTCAGTGCTATTGAACTATTGTTGGTCATACTTCTTAAGTAGACTTTTTATTAAAGTTCTTTATTTTGCTGGGTTTGTCTTTCCAACACTTAATAAATATAAGCTGCCACTAGCATCAGTGATGCATAGCAAAGCTACTGTTAGTCTTAACCTCTTCTTTATTACCTCTGTTTTATTTTCCCCTTTGAGGATATCACATAAAAAGAAAATTTGCTTTTGAAAGAAATCCTGTGTTTTATTTGTTTTTAGATTTTTAAAATTTTTAATATTTGGTCCTTTCCCCTCTTGAAATGTATACTGTACCAGAATGGAAGTTATATTGCCTCCTGATTATAAACATCTATTTTATAACACTATGCTCAAAATATTAAAAAAGCATAAAATGTGCTCTTAAAGCAATGAAATTTAATTTTCAGCACACTGGCCTCATGAAGGAAATATGCTATGTATATATAGATAATTTTAAGAATGTAGACTTCCTGTACACTTAACAAAGAAGAACATGATAACTCAATCAAATTAAGGGAAAAATGAAAGTCTAGAGAAGAAAAACGAGGCTCTGGTTAAGAATAAAATCGTGGCATTTTCAGCTGTTTAGTCATTATTTTATAAATGACTCAAATGTTCATATTCTTTAAGAATATTCTGAGTATAAAGAGTTATAGAATTTCAGAGGTGGAGAAGCTAGATTAGTTAGCTCCAAAGTGGGAAACAGATTCCCAGCTCCGACGGTTTGCAGAGGCTGCTCTGAGTTCTGTGTTGAGAGGGAGTCTGAGGCTGGCTCTGGCAGAGCTGTAAGGAGGACCACCAGTGGTTAGCCGTGCCATTTGCTGGGGAGGATGCCACTGTAGCCAAGGGCCTTACAGCTGTCTTTCTGGATTTGGTTTATTACCCTCTGTACCTTTGTTTTTATTTTTGTAAACAAATCAACTGAACATGGAGGCCCAGAAAACTGAACTAATTTATCCCCGGCGACATAATTAAGTTGAAGCAGAGCCAGGGCCAGAGTCCTGGGCACGTGGATGTTGGTTCACTGTCCTTCCCACCGTGTAGGCAGGGCTCACTTGAGGGGATATGTGTTCTCGCCAGTGCTGGAGGACAAAATCTGAAGGATGGTAACTCAGTATTGTTAAATGGTTAGTAACGTACTGTTGATTAGAAGCTGACAAGTTTTTGTACAGGAAGGTTAGTGAGATACAGTATTTCAGGAAGGACCCTGGCAAAGCTAGAAAGTGCAGGCCATTTTATGAGATTATTAGTGAGTCAAGTCATTTGACTCGGCTCACAAGTAAATATATCTATATCTGGGCATTAAAATATAACTTTTTAACAGTTAACCATTTGTAATTGCCTACTTTAGGTTTATTAAGTTTTTCTGCTAAATAACAAACCAATATAATTACTATGCTGACAGAGGAGCAATCATGCAGTCCAGTACCTTAGGTCTGTGTCAAGAGTTATTTATAAGTCAGCCACCAAGTAGCAAAATGATGAAGATCTGAATTTCACCTTTGTCTCCCTCTATAGTATTTAGAGGATATTAAAGAGTGTGTAATGGCCCAAATGTAGATGTTAGAAAAAATAAAGGAGAGAGTAAATATGGCAATTACACTAAGTATGAGTATTTAATTTAGGGAAGGTCGTATACTTAATCAGGAAATAATATTTTAATGACTTTTTGGTGAAACTCATGTTCAGAGTGAAGAAATTTGGCTAAAACAAAACTCCATTACTTTTGTAAAATGCAAATCCAATGATTTATATTTCAGTAATCAATAACTATACTGTCTCTAAACTGTGGCCCAAAGAAGCAATTTTGTGAAAATTAAGTGTTTTATAAAGCTTCACCAATGTGTGACATGTGAAAATCAAAAGAGTTGTCAGGACAGTGGGAAAATGTTTCCCATAAAAACTAAAACTTAGAAGATGGAGACTGTAAAATAAAGGAACTGCGTGCACTTAATATGGAGAATACTTTTTCTACTAATGTTACTTTAAAATGGGACAGTCATCATTTTAAGATGATACATAGACAGTACAAAGGAATGGACTAGATTATCCAGACAATACTCATTTAAAAATGATACACATTGCACATTTTGGGGAGAGAAATGGGCTAGATAATCTTCCCAAAGACTCTAATTATGTGTACGTATGGGCAAGAAAAGCACATCTCTGGGCACACTGGGTTTATTTGATACGCTTGTCATGTACCACAATGTTTCAAAAAATGGAGGTGAAATTAATACGCTAATAAAATTTCAAGTAGAATTGGTTAGATGCTGAGGTTCTAGAAAGTCCAGGAAACTGAAGGATGCATTTTTAAGATGCAGAATTTTAACGGTGTTAGAAATACTAATGGCATCAGTAATAAATGTATTGAGGCTACAGAAACAATTGTCCCCTCCTTGTTTCCATGAATACTTTTCCTATGTTAATACAGGAAATAAAAAAAAAAAAACCACCATCTTTTGTGTATCTAGTTCAGGTTTCTCATTTTGTAGAGACATTACTGGAGTGCCCTGGAATACTAATGGCACTTATAGCCTAACTAATGCATTAAAAAAAAATGATGTCACTCATATGTAGAATCTAAAAAAAAAAAAAGAGAAAAAAGAAGGCACTAATGAACTTAACTACAAAAGGGAAACAGACTCACAGACATAGTAAACAAACTTATGGTTACCAAGGGGGTAAAGGGGGTGGGAATGGATAAATTGGGAGTTCGAGATTTATAAATACTAACTACCATATATAAAATAGATAAAAAATTAAATTCTTCTGTATAGCACAGGGAACTGTATTCAATAGTAACAACCTATAATGAAAAGGAATATGAAAATAAATACATGTTTATATACGTATGACTGAAACATTATGCTGTACACCAGAAATTGACATACTGTAAACTGACTATACTTCAATAAAAAAAATCATTTAGGTATATACTTCATTAGTAGTGAAATAGCATATACAGCATCCCAAACACACAGATTGATAAAGTAGATACAAATTCATCTTATAAATTTTGAAAAGTAAGGAGGATAAGGCCAGTTGGGGCCACATCAAGTGTTGGACGAGGCAGATGAGTACAGACTACTTCTGGGGGACTTCATGTCTGTGTGCACGAAGAGAGGGGTGTGGAGGCTAAACTCTGGGACCAGAAAGTACCAGATCAGAACATTTAAATGCAAAGGTAAAAATCACAGTGGTTTAGGAGAGAGAGAAAAGGCAAGAAGTGGCGTGCAGAAGAGAGGCATTCTAGAAACCTCTAAATTCAAATGCTTAGAAGCATCTCTGGAATTCAGTCACTCAGCACTCCAAAGGCCGGGCAGACTATTAGCACCTCCCTCACCGAATGTGTGTAATTCTGGTAAATGGAAAATTTCTCATGAATATTTGTACTGTACGTGCATGACTGGGACATTGTGTTGTACACCAGAAATGGACGCATTGTAACTGACTGCACTTCAATTAAAAAAAAATTTAAAAAATGGAAAATTTCTCAGGAGCAAATTCATTTTTAAAAAGTTAATGGAAAAGTGTTCATCCGGTTGCTTGAAATGTTCCTTGTTTACCAGGCACATCCTGGCAATGGGAAAAACAGCATGTACTTGCAAAAATGGAAACAGAACCAGTAAAATAACTCATGACCCATCTCTCCCTCAAGAATATTAGTGGGTCAGAAAGACTTATTCTTCAGTTCTGTAGAAATTCTATTATTTTACACGCATCAACATGGCAGGATTTTTTGTTGTTGTTTTTTACCTCCTACCAGAGGTATTCAAACCAGTACATATGTGGAAAATTTGCTAAAAGTGTGGATTTCCTGGGCTGTCTTTCCAAAAATTCAGATTCAGAAGTCCTGGGTGGGTCTCAAGAATTTGTTTTTCAAACAGATGCTCCAGGGGATCCTCTACAGGTGATCTAGGGATCACACTTTGAGAAACACTGCCTCAAAGTAAGTTCTTTTCCACTGCAAAGTCATGGCTAATTGTATTTAATAGGCTTCCTAGTGTTAGTTCTGAAATAATCAAGTAGACTGCTACCGGAGTCAACCATCAAAGCACCGTGGGGAAACCTAACCTCAAACACGAGGTCAGGTGGATTCTCAGAATGGAATCTGGATTATCTGCCCAGGGAAGCCTTCTAGCCTGTCCACACCCCAGGCATGACTCAGTTTGGACAGAGGTCCTTTTCAGTTCGTCCTTGGTCTTAAGAAGCCCACATCACTATCTGCCAGATTTTTACCTCTTTTGGTGATAGGATAGAAATGTAATCTTCATATATCATTCTGGCCTTTTCTTCTATGACTTTTTTGTTCTGCTCTTTCTTCAAGTCTTCACAGGCAAGCCAGAAAAGTAGGTTCTCCTCACTGTATTCTGTTCGGAGGAACTCTCTGAAGAGGTTTCTTCCGGCCGGGGCCTTCATCATCTTGTCAAAATTTTGAGACCAGGACAAGACTTCATCTGAAGTGGGGTTTTGGCTGCAGAGACAGAATGGGGCCATTATTAAAGGCAACTTTGACATGAAGGCTGGCCCAGGTGTAGGAGAAGGCAAACAGAAACGCTATTCAATTGCTGCCATCTAGTGGTCATTGTGACTCAGTTCGGCCTGAGCTGGCAAACATCTGCCAGGACTAGGCTAATTATTTCTGGCTCTTGACAAAAATTCCTGTAGGCACAAGCTACGTGTTAGGGAGTCAAACATTCGGATAGCAAGGGGCTCCACATACCATGCACGTGGTCATCATAAATTCCTAGTGAAACTTGGAAATGTTCAAACCATAACAACCTATTGTAAGTTGATAGAAACAGTTTATACATTACTTTGAAAGGCAAACTGAACTTTTTTGTTTGCATCAGATGTAGCTTTTAGTTTTCAATCCATAAGATACAGTTTCTCTTCCCATCTCTGGTATTTTTTATTTTCATTTTCACAGGATCTAAAATAAGAATACATAGTGTGGACTTGTCACGTATTTTCCTAAACTTTAATAGTTATTCTAGTCAATATTGTGAATGGAGTTATCACAGTTTAAAAGGACCAGACCTTTATCATGACATGAGGGACTTTTTAGTTTTCCATATTCAGATCTTCAACAACTACTTTCCTGCAGAAACCACCAGTTATTACTTCCTTATCCATCAAAGAAGTAGAGGAGAGAAGCTTGGAGATTCTTGTGGTTAAATTGATCCTGGTTTTGCTTTCCCATTCATTGGTCTGTTTAATAATTTTCCAACCTAAAAATACATTTGTTCCAAAAAGTACTTATATTTTATTTATTCTTACCTTTTTGACCGAGTATTTTAAATAGATTTGCTACCATTCCAAGATGCTTGAACTTTCTCATTCAAACATTTTTAAAAGACAGAAAAATTACTATGAAGCATCCACATCAAAGCGTTCTCATGAGAAGTGGGAAAAGAAAGCACCTGTTATACCAAGAATCTACTTCAATTTTAGTTTTATTCTGTAAAGACTGCAATTTAGCTTCTCACTTTGGAGACAATATTTGGTTAGAGTATGACCTGATGGAACTGGGGCCAGGGGCCAGCTGGGTGTCCTTTCTGACTGACTTAAGTAATTCCATCTTTTTGTGTGTGTGTTTTAGACTCTTCCCCTATAAAGAGAACAACTTAAAAAATAGCCTCAGAAAAGAGAAAAAGAATTAAGGCAATTTGGGGAGCTAATTCACATAGCAGTCATTATATTCTGAAAGCGGTTAAGCTCAGGTAATGCTTTAGCCAACAGCACAGCTCATAGAAAAATCAACAGAAAGCTATTGCAATCACAAAATAAGATCTCCCAGGCTGAGTGTGCATGCATCGCCCAGAACCATTCCGAGAGGACCAGGAAGCCCGGGACTGTGTTTCAGCGCTGGGTAGGTGTGAACAGTGCGCGCACACAAGACACAGTAACCATGGGAACCGCACTCACCACTCCTCTAGGATCTGGATGCTCTCCATCTTTGTGGTGTGTGTGGGTCTTCCCGCGCTTTCCCCTCTTTCTTCGTTCCTAACAGTGAGGCTGCAATGTAGTACAACGCTTTATTTTGTCAAGGGAAATCATTTCACGAAAAGCAAAAAACTCCAGGAAACTACTTCACGGAAGAATTTTTTTCAGCTATGTGAGAATATTTAGAGCACAGAAAGAGCACCACCATTTCTACATGACGAGTGAGCCTGTGTCGAGTAAAGGAAAGAGAACCCTTATTTAACAAAGGAATAAAGTGCATCATAACCTCAAAAAATGGGCACTGTTAGGCATTTGGACCTTGTCCTTACATAATTTGAATTACTAAAAATCTCTGAGATACTTACGTGATTCTATGCTTTAATATGCGATCTATGTCTTTATGTTACTCTTTGGTGTAATGTCATTTTGACTTTTGGTTAATTCTATTCATTGTCTGTTTTCCATTGATTTTTTCCCCCATTGATAGCTAAAAAGATAAAAGATAGAGAAATCTAAAACAGAGTTTGCTAAGTTCACATCACCCTTCTCTGCAGACCAGGTTTGGAATCTCATTAATTCATCCTTCCATTCTTAGGAGCAAGGATGAGGGTGGAGAGAATGTAGCAAAGGGGAGACTTTAAGGAACAGGGGCCAATCTACAACTGAAAGTGAGACTAGACAGAAATTTTAGTTGAGAAAACGGATTACCTGGAGGAAAAAGACCCCGGCAGGAATTGGAAAGGATTCTTCAGTCTGAAAGAGGACACTTTAATAGAAAAATAAAATATAATAGTGAAATTGAGTTTTTTACTTATTTCTAGGGAGTGTGGTAGATTCATTGGTGGAGAAAGGAGGGACCTCTCACAAAAGTGGTGTGGCCCCAAGAATTCTGAGAAGCAGCTACAGTAGCCAGTTGGTACTCAAATGCCCAGCAAGCTGAGCAGTGCTCTTCAGGGAGGTAGTGATGTCAGACGCCTCCCAGCCTTCAGTGCAGGGGAGCCACGAGGAAGCAGTGAGCTGGAATTCAGAGGGAGCCCACCATGGGTTAGGTCTCTGCCTATGGGCTCTGTGAATGTGTCTGCAGCCTGAGGCAGCCTAGGAAGCCACCGTCCCTGATGATGCCACACGATTAGGTCAGGGATGTGTTGAAGGGGAGAGCCATTCACTTCTCAAAGTATCTTTGAGTTAAGACTGCATCTCTGGCAGTTGATGTATTTCCAGTAATTATGGGAAAGTGGGTGGGAGGTAGGACTCCACCATTGACAAAATTCTCTGAAATTTCCTGGGAGAAATTAATGATGCCAAATGTATAAAAAATGCAACTTGGGGGGGTAAATTCTAGAAATATCACATTTAAATGGGAAATTTGTACTCATTCTGCCAAGCTTCACCGCGCTCAGATGTTTGTGCGTGTAAAGTAAGGAACTATAAAAAGACTAGAAAATCAGCTTGCTTTCACTGATTAAATAATAAACTCCTTGGAAATTTATTGCTGTTGCATTTCCCCACTGTGCCCCACAGAGTGTGGCACACCAATGCAGGTATACTTATCTGAGGCAACATCTTTGAAACAATTTGTTCTCCATTGTGTCTTTGCTGTAGAGCAACAAATCTGGAATCCACACCCATGATTCACAAGTTTTTGAACATGAATTCTGGCTCTTGTATCTGTTTCTGCGATATTTACAAACATCCCAAATGCCACCATATTAGAGTGAACACTGTGAAATATTGGATTGTGTTTATATCTTTTATTTCTGCAGATGGTAAAATATGGACACACATTTGTGCTAAAACTACTTATAACTGACATTTGGTAAGTGCCTAACTGCTCACCGTTTGCCCCATTTCCTGGTTTACTATTGGACACAGCAGTGCTCTGTAGAAAGAAACTGACCTTTAGCAATCTATGTGTTCTTTTTAATCAGATGTCCTTTAGAAACTGGTTTCAAAGTTTCATTTATCAAGAATCACTGACAGTGCCCTTTTAAGATGACGAGACATGGAGAAAATACTAAGAGCGTTGGTACTAGGCTGTTTGCCACTTTTCAAACAACTAAAGCCAGGAAGAGACCAGCATGTACGTACAGTGCTCACTACGGAGTCTTGATCAAAGCTTAGATATTTTACGGAAGAAGGCGCCAAGAGCCTATGCTAAGAATAGTAAAACAAGCATTTAAAACCCCATTAGAACCACATGATACCACTCATATGTGGAATCTAAAAAAGAAAAATAGAAGACACTAATGAACTCATCTGCAAAACAGAAACAGACATACAGACACAGTAAACAAACATGGTTACTGGGGGGAAAGGGAGTGGGAAGGGATAAATTGGGAGTTTGAGATTTGCAGGTATTAACTACTATATAGAAAATAGGTAAACAAGTTTCTTCTGTACAGCACAGGGAATTACGTTCAGTATCTTTAGTTACCTATAATGAAAAATAACATGAAAACCATTATATGTATGTATATGTATATGACTGAAACATGCTGTACACCAGATACTGACACAACATTATAAACTGACTATACTTCAATTTAAAAAAAAATCCTTTTAGAGATTTTTCTAGAATGATGACTTTGAGAAGAGACAACACTTGGTACATTTCAGAAAATAAGGAAATAGACCCTTTGCATGTGGGTGGAATTTCTGTTTGCTTACAGCGGAGTTTGGAGAGTGGGGTGGGGAAAACAGGACCTACTGCCCTTTACCTGGTTTACTTTGTCCAGTTTGCACACTATCTAGTTTACCTGCCCATCATCATGGGTACTTGAGGGGCCTATTTTGGAAGACAGTCTGCTTTTTAAAGAAAAATAATTGGTTCTGAGGGAGAATTCTTGAAACGTTTGCAAATAAGATGAGAACTTGGCAGTAGGCATGGTAACCCTGGGATAGAGGCCGATCACAAAACCACATATATGTACACAAAACCCTACTGAGGGATTAATAATATGCTTAAATTTAATCCAGTACAACATCAAGGCTCAAGAAAGAACCACTGTCATTTAGTAAAGGCAAGCCATTGTTTTAATACTCTCATATCGTGATACCAGATTTTCTTTTATATTTAATGCTTCTACCTCAAATTTCCCAGTGCAAAAATGGAATCAACTTCCTTCAGGTTCAGAAAAAGAATTGGTAAGTTACTCTTCAGCTATTTCATTTTTTCTCAGTCAAAATATCCTGGTAAAATCATACTACAGCTCTATTTAGGAGTCAACAGCAATTTACAAATACGTGTGAGACACCTGAGTTACGCAACGGTGCTTGGAAAATCAAGACAAACGAGGGAGAGGTTCTGAAACTGAGGATTTCCGACAGGTTAATGGCATCACAGAGCATTACAATGAGAGCTAAAACAGAGGTGTTTGCTGGATGGAGACCTAGCCAAAGGGAATTCCAAACAAGGGAGGAAAATCATGTGTAGAGTTGTTAAAAAGGCCTATAGAAAAAAATGGTCAGATGGGATGTTTCTGGACAGGAGCCATACATTAGACTAGGCAGGGAGGTGTGGTTATGCAGGGGCCAAGAACACAATGAGGTGGACCCTAAGTGTAGGATCTACCTCCTTTCAGACGGTTTTGGCTTTCCATGCTTTATTGTCTCCATTCACAATGGGAACGACAGTAGTGACCTACTGCACAAGGTTGTGAAGCAAAGACTCCACGCTTGTGACAAAAAGGCAAATGATTACACATGCTCGATTCAATGGAAGGGCAAGGTGGCTGTGTATTCAAATGACAATCCGAGGTTTACCAAAGGGCTTTTTATTTCAACCCAAGGGAATAAAGCCTGACACTTTGCCATTATTATAAAACACGTCTTCATACATCACCTGACCACTTCTTCCTCCCAACAGTCTGGTAAGGTCAGCAGGGGATTTGAGATTAATCACTCCCATTTTACTTAAGAGGAAGCAGCCACTGAGGTTGACCTACTCAACACACACGCCTAAAACACAGCGGGGCTAGCACTAGAATTCACGCCTTCTGATTTCCCGTCTCCTGCTCATTTTCGCTGTGCAATGCTTCCTCTCTTGACGTAGAAGACTTCACTGTGGTATTTTGCCTTTTCAGTTATTTACAAACACTGATTGCTCTTAAATGTTTGGACAGGGTAAATCTCCTAGCACAGAGCCCTGTATTGAGTGCACAGCATGTCCCACAGCCATCAGACTCTATGCGGTATTGCCCAGAGGACTAAATATACAATAAATATCAGCGAGGAGCAACTTTCGATTCCTGGGGACTTGAGATAACCAGGGAGAAAGGAGCTCTCACGGAAGGTTTGACAACAAAGCCTGACTAAGGAAAAGAAGCAGGGATGCCACTCGTGATGGCAGAACAGGTGTTGCTCCTGCAAAGAGTCTCCCTGGGACGTACCACCTGCTCCCATCAGCAAAGACAACTCTGGGGAGAAGGGAATTCAGAGAGGAGAGGAGCGCTGATGCATTGCTTTACAGAAAAGAAGGAAAAAGGCAGCAGAAGGGGGCACGGTAACCACATACCACCTACAATCTCAGGCATAGAAAACCTCAGTTATAATCAAACCTACGACTGAACCGCATCTCTTTCATTTATACGTTTTGGTAAAATAATTTAGTTTTGAATGGGCTGTGTGAGGATGGGAAGGTTGGTTAAAACTTTGTGTCTGGAAATGTTCCACAACACTTGTCGCAGAAAACACTGCCCCTATAAGTACTCCTTCTATTTTTTATAATCATTTATCACATGTTACAAAACAAGTGTTTCATTTGGCTTCAGCTTTTATTTTGTAAACAAACCTCTTCATAGTAAAATAATTTGTTATTAAAAATCTTTCCACTAGATGGCTGTGTTGCCTTTATAAACAATGTTTTAATCCAAATGAAATCTGAAAGTTTGTAAGTGTAATCACCCTTATTTGGGGGGTGGGGGAGGACCCAAAAAACTATTCTTCTATGTATGGAGTTTTAATAATTACATCTTTCTAAGAAATTTGAAAAGAGCCATCCAATTTTTCTGTGAATGAAATAATGAAACTCCAAAGGGATAAATTCAATCTTGGGAGGTGTGCATAATTGCACC